TAATAATGAAAATTAAAGTATTTAACTTATGCAAATTGTTTAGAACAATGTTTGGTGAGTAAATAAGCTCTCAATAAAATGTTACTTATTTTTAAGGTTATTACCCTGCAGAGTTGTGGTGAGAAAAACATCACTTCCTGTTTGTAAGGAGGTAAGCGATGTTGGAACAAAACTATTGTTTAGTGGAATGCAAGTTTTTCTAAGGAAAGTATAATGCTCTAAGTATCAAGAGCATGATAATAAATTTATAATAGACAACAAAATAGGGCTAGCCAAGGGCTTGTCTAATTCTTAGTAGTTGTTTCTCTTATCTCTTGAATATTTTCTAGCAGCTTGTATGAAGCAATATTTTTTATCAATACATTAAATATAAAAATATACCTTTGTGCTTGCTATTTCCTTTACCTGGCCCTGCATATCATGTAGAGGTGGAAAATACTGAAGAAGATGTACTAAAATCTTCCACTCTCCCTCTGGAGTTCTAAGCAAGTCAGAGTTTTATAATCATTTATAGAACACAGACCTTCAGAAATAGAAGTGTGGACATGGGAAAATCAGTAAGTTTGGCCTCCTAAGATTTTCTTTCTCAAAGAAACATATAAAACTATGACTGATTCATAAAGTATACATGGACCTGACATATAGGTTAACAAAGGCACTAGCAAGCTATAAAAGCCGTGTCTGTAAATAGATGAGACTGTTTGGTGCTGCTTATCAACTCGGACATATTCTTTTATATACATATATATATATATATATATATATATATATATATATATATATATATTGATTGATTTTGTACAGAGAGGAAGGGAGAGAGATAGAGAGTTAGAAACATTGATGAGGGAGAGTCATCCATCAGCTGGCTCTTGCACACCCCCTATTGGGGATATGCCCGCAACCAAGGTACATGCCCTTGACCGAAATCGAACCCGGGACCCTTCAGTCCCCAAGCCGAAGCTCTATCCACTGAGCCAAACAGGTTTTGGCTCAGACATATTCTTATACACATTTTCAAATTCTGAAGACAGAAAACTGATCACATGATTGACATGACTTTGTTTCTAACTGGGCCTCTATAATAACAAAAGCATAATATGCTAATAAGACGGACATCCTTCCAAATGACCTTCTGGATAAGCAAAGGTGGGTGGGGAGCTGCAGAGGCAGGGGCTGCAGCGGCAGGGCCAAGGCAGAGGTGGCTGTCATGGTGGCAGGGCCAAACCCCTTGCACAAATTTCATACATTGGGGCCTCTAGTTTAGGGATAAAAAGGCTCTATGTCCAAAATCCAAAATTAGTACACATAATCTAATATGCGATCCAGAGGAGAATAGAACACTTGGAATCAGTATTTTCTTGGACAAAGCCTTCACAACCACAGAGGGTAACCTCTCCTTACTAAAGCTACTCTAATATTTGAAGTAACCTACCTAAGGACATCTTGTCATTGACATGCTGTGATAAAACTGAATTTTAACCACTAAACACATTAGCCTTATTGTTTTGAAATTATGACATATATGATGTCCATATAAAACATGAAACACATTCTTATAAGCTTTTTATTGACACTGGGATGAACTTAAATAATTCATAGAAATTTCTTTTATCTTATTGTCAATATTAGTCTTCTCTATACATTTTCAACATTAGATTCAAGTACCCAGATTTTAAGAAATGATCACTCTTCTTAAATGCGAGCTTTGTTGAAATGAAAACAATTTTATTAAGCCATAAACAAAATAAGCATTCTCTGGGGTTTTTAATTATTTCTCCCTTTGTGAACATAAAAATGGTTTCAATACACTCAAATGAAACAACGAAAAAAATGTGGAAGCAGATTTGCAGTTGTAAGAGTGAATTGTTTAATTTAAAGGCAGCCAACCATGAGATATACAGTTGACAAAAGACATGAGATACTCATTTTTTCAGTACATGCTTATTTTGTGATAGCAAGATATTTTTAGTCAATTAGCTTGCTCAATTGACTAAGCATCTCCTACCTCATTTAGCTGAACAAAGACAGCAGAGGAACTTTAGCAAGACATAGTGATTTTATAGTGGCATACCAACAAGGCAGAAACAAATCCTCCATAGAAAATAACTTATTCAAGGCAATAGACACCTAACAAAATCAGTGTAGCTGTTTTCTAAATGTAAAAACACAAAGCCATTGGAATTCCCAATTTATTTGAATACTTTTGTAAAAACTCAAGAATCAAATATCAAAAATTTTTTGAAAAATTAAGTGGAGCCAAAACCGGTTTGGTTCAGTGGATAGAGCGTCGGCCTGAGGACTGAAAGGTCCCGGGTTCGATTCTGGTCAAGAGCATGTACCTTGGTTGCTGGCACATCCCCAGTAGGGGCTGTGCAGGAGGCAGCAGATTGATGATTCTCTCTCATTGATGTTTCTAACTCTCTATCCCTCTCTCTTTCTCTCTGTAAAAAATCAATAAAATATATATTTAAAAAAAAGAAAGAAAAATTAAGTGGACAAAGCTCCCTACCTTGTTTATCCTATTTTTTATAAAATATTTTATTCTTATTTTAAGACACTATGCTTTCTAATTAAATAATTATGTACATTCTTCAATAATGATAAAAATATTTAAGAATTTATTACTCTCATTATTCCTTATGAAGTTAACTACATAACAAGTGAAGTGTTGACAATTTGTGAAATTAAGAAAATAAAGAAAAAAGTTATAAGAATATACACTAAAACATATAGTATCCTTGAAAAAGTAGTTTAATTTTTTGTTTTTGTTTTTGTTTTGTTTTTTAAAAAATAAAAACATCAAGGATCTTAACATGCTAAGAGATGTAAAGATAAGTTTGGGGAATTTATGTTTCAAGATCAACAATTCAATTACCTGAAGACTCTAAATAACTTTATTTGTTTAATCATCAGGCATTTCTTGCCCTGTGATAAGATAAAATTGTCTATTGTTAAGAAATCTAATGTACTTTTTAAATAAACATAAAAAAAGATATTTGATTTTTTTTTAATGGAAGGTCAATCATGAATCATTTCCTGCAGCTTCTCCTCTTTCAGATCTATGATCTAAAGCCAGAAATTTAAGTGACAACAGCATTGCTACTGAACTTGACTGGTCTTTGAACAGGACAGATCACTTAAATTCAAATAGAAGACAAGTACTTGGCCCAGATATGCTGTCTCTTGAAAGTTGGCCAACAGGTTTATCAAACTTCCTCTACCCCAACTGCTTCTGCCTCCTTCAGATTACCCCTGTTCTCCAGGATGCAAATAAGAAGGCTTATATCTGTGTTTTGAAATACACCAAATAATTCAAACAAATTTTTATTTTTCAGAAGTCCTATCAAAAAATGTAAAATAATTATTTTTTCATTAAAAATAAAATATGGCTAGATGAAGGCTCAAGTAGTGAAAGTTACTATCAGTGAGTCAAGAGGTGCCATGCTTATTTTGCTCCTCAGCACCCTTTCTGAAAATGAATTGGTTCTATATCTGAAAACTCTAGGGGGGGGAGGAGGGGAGTATAACTTTGTTGATATTACCACAGATATTTCTTGAATTTTCACATCTCTGTTTCTCAACATTTGAGAAAGAAAAAACCTAGAATCCTTAACTTACAGCACCTTTTAGCTACATATGTAATAAAAATGAAATGTTAAAAAATAAATTACACCAAAATCAGGAATACTGATAACAATAAATTCAGGTGAAGCTGTGGAACAACAGGAACTATTACACATGACTGGGAATGCAAAATGGTACAGCCATTTTGGAAGAGAGTTTGACAATTTCTTACAAAACTTAAATATGTTTTTACCATTTGATCCACTAATTGAACTCCTTGGCATTTGCATAAAGAAGTTGAAAGTTATGTGTATACAGAAACTTGCACAAGATGTTTACAGAACTTTTATTCATAGCTGCCAAAACTGGGAAGAAACCAAGATGTCCTTCAGTAGGCAAATGGATAAACTGTGGTACCTCCAGAAAATAGACTATTATTCAGTGCAAAAAAAGGAATGAGCTACCAAGCCATGAGAAGATGTAGAGAAAAACTTAACAGCAATATAATTAAGTGAAAAAAGGCAATCTGAAAGAGCTATATACTTTATGATTCCAACTATCTGACCTTCTGAAAAAGGCAAAACTATGAAGACAATAAAAAGATTAGTTGTTGCCAGGGTTTAGGGGAGGGACGGATGAATAGGTAGAGCATAGAGGATTCTTAGGGCAGTGAAAATACTCTATAAAATACTATAATAATGGAAACCCATAGAATGTGCATGCCAAAAGAGAATCCTAATGCAACCAATGGACTTTGGGTAATGATGATGTGTCATGGTAGGTGCATCAACCATAACAAATGTACCACTCTGGCAAGAGATGTTGAAAATGCTATGAATTTGTGGAGGTGGGAGTACATGAGAAATCCTTACACCTTTTATTAAATTTTGCAGTAAATATAAAATCACTCTAAAAATTAAGCCTATTAGAAAGGCAAACAAACTATTAAAACAAAAAATTATAAATATTTTCTCAAAAAATTATACCACAAAATAAAAAGCATCATCCCATTTTCAAGGTGGAATAATGAGGAGGTAGTTTTGGTGAGTGAGACTGAAAGGAGCATAAAGGAAAATAAAGAAAAACTCCACATTAGGTAGGCCAAAGGAGTAAATGCATAGACATACCGATTTCCAGACATACAAAATCCAGTCACTGCATGAGAGTGAGTTCTGGGCATCATATTTGTGGATGTCAGACTTGGTTGAAAGGTCCAGCTTTGTCATCACTAAACTCTATGTTCTTGGGGTAGTGAAGTGACCTAGTCCTCAGCTCAGATTCTTTGTGTAAAAATAGGGAAACTAGCATTTACCTTATAGAACATTGTTCATAAAAGATTATAAAATGTATAAGGATATAAGCAATGTACCTACAACTTTCAAACTTTATATACAAATTATTATATTTATTGATATAAATCAGATGAAGTTTCTTACCAAGGATGAATTCCAACTGTGGTTCATTTGGCGTCTTCTGAATACCTATAAATAATAGGTAAGAATTCAGATTAAAGATATTTAAGTCATTATCAACATTATCAAAAATATGTCATTTAATATTACTGTTTCACCATGCCTGGAATATATTAAAATATTACTTATCAGAATAAATAAAGTCAGTTGATCAGATTTATAAGCAGTGGGTTCTCAGGGGAAGACATAATATTTGAAACAGAACTAGATATAATTAAAAATTTGAGCTATTTAGCTCCATAGCCATAAAGAATCTCAAATTTTGTAAGCTGTGACAAATATGAAACGTTTCCCACTGTGTCTGTTTCTTTTAAATGCATGGAGACAGATTGGAACTTTCAAAAAAGGACAACCTCTCCAAGGCACTCTTCCATATAGAGTTTTCTTTCAAACCACTCCAACCTGCTATACACAGTGAATTACTAATTAAAAGGATATCTCTACTTAGGTTATGAAGGATATTATGCTAGTGGTTATACTGCCAGCTTACTGATAGCTCAAATTAACATTCGATTAAATGCCTCTATTTCTCTTGCTGGAGTTTTTTACAAAACCTAATAACATGGCTCAATGATTTAAGATGCAGTAGAAGGGAAAGCAAGTCTGAGAAGAAAGTTAAGAAAACAGGAACATCTAATGATTAAAGGTGGGAAGACCAGGCTGTGATGAGTGAGAATGGCAGGCAGATGCCTGAAGACCACACACAGCACAGGGGCTTCCTAAACAAGAGTGGATGAGGCTTGGGATGCCATTTGTTAGCTCTCATGGTGGCCAAAGAAGCAAAACTAAGCTATGGACAAGTAAACCATTTGGCAGTAATGTAAGAATATTATGCAAATCCTTTCCTTCTTTATTTTTACTGGTGGACTCATCAGACACTATTTAAATTTAATAGCTTCTGGTCACTAATATGCTATTAGAACCACTTCTTCGTATAAAAATCATCCATTTTGTTATTTATAGAGTTCACAGGTTTTGCATGGTAACCATTTTATTTTTCTTCCCGCTTTCATTTAACAATGCTATGGTTAACAATTTTAGACTTTCCAAGAGAGGCTAAAGTGACAATCATTAGGTAGGCCTTTGTGCATTTTGAATAGTGTAGATTTTTTTAAAAAGGTTATTAACAATTAACTCTGCTATAAGCTCTGACAACCCAATTTCTCAAAAAATGCATCCAACCAATACCATTTTCTAAGGATTATTTTTATAATGTAAATTAAGTGAGAGGTTAGGCATATGTTTGCCAGTGTTAATAACTGGGCAATAAGAACCATCTGAAAAGAAAAGAAAGAAAGGACACAATTCATGCTAAACAATAAAACCTGAACCCTAGAATTTTGAACATGGGAGAAAAAACATATAATTCTTCCAACAATTTTAATTATGGGAGTAGCACAAATCCTGATTGTAATGTTCAGATGTAAATCTTGCCCCAGTCTTGCTCTCTCTTTGGGACTTGGTGCTCTCACATAGGGCAGTGACAGCCGTGCAACCATTTCACCCTAAAGCTTTCCACTTAGTCCTTGGTGTTAAAGAGAAAATGTCTATGTTCTGAAAAATAATTCCACATGAGATTATACAAATGATGAATAGAAGGGGTACTTAAGACGTATTAGTTAGTGTCTTAATGCACATTCAGCAACTTTGATTCTACCATTTGATATTTAACAGTTTCATAGACTCTCATCAATCTCATATATGATGATAAAAGGCAAGAAGCATTTCATAGAATCACAACAACAAAAGAAGCAGTGCAAAGGGAAAACATTTTGTTAACCTTAGGCCATTTGTTAGGACCCCAGTTTCTGTGTGATTGGTCAATCCAATGTGCATTGTCAGAGAGTTCCAAGAAGGAGCACGCACATACTTACTTGTCAGGTGGAAGTCCCCACTCTCATTTGCCTGGGGTGTGGGAAGGAAGTGCTGGCCTTCTTCTGACGTGCCTTCCTCTTTGATTTCCATGATCACCTTCACAGTTGCTTATTTTTTTAGTTTTCCAATGTTTCGTGTCCAAATGTCACTACCAATGTTTCCTGGTTTAGTACCGACGTATCTTCACACTAAAGATCTAATATCCCACTTTAAAATTCTGCATTGAGGAAACATCAACAGCAAAAATGTCAGTTACTCTAGAGTTTAATCTAAAGCAAAGAATTAAAAGTGGGTAGAGACTATAACTACCTGCCTGCCTATACCACTTTTATATTCAAAACCAATCCGCCCGGTTAATATACTAAGAACTCCGGGTTAAATGGGCATTTTCCCTGCAATTATTTTATGGTCATATGAGGGAGTTCTAAATCCTGAAAGGTATATTTGTTCTCTTTTAGTTTATTTTGCAAAATAGCAGATAGCTACAGGGGATGCTAACTTAAATGCACCTAATTTACCAGCAAGGACAGATAGCATCTTGTCGAGGCGTTAAAATGTTTTGCCAAGATGAATATTACTTTCATTCTTTCCATTAGAAATGCCCTTTATACTCATCTCTCTAACCATCCTTGTTAGAACATTATTCATGAACACATAAAGATAATTTGGCATGACATTCTTCTTCCAAGATGAGCCAACAGGTTGTGCAGAGGAGTTTCCAACTCATCATTATCCACAGAGTCTGTTACTGCTCTGCCTGATAAAGGTGTAATTGTTTAATGATCGAGGTAGAGGTTGAACAGAATGAATAATAATCCTTAAAAGCTAAAGCTCAAGGGGAAATGAAAGCAATAGCAAAGTGATGAAAATTAGCATGGGGAAAGGAACCTTTCCAAAAACTTACTACCCTGTTAATACAGCCAGCCACCACGTTTCAAATTCATTTTGATATCTAGCATCATATTCATGACCAAGAATTAAATAGGAAAAAAATCAATGTAGTTAAATCAAGTGACCAGCTGAATTAAAATGTATACAATCTTTAAATGTCTACCCAATGCTGCTTAATGAGATTGCAGCAATAGGGTTTGGGTTTGGAATACTGATTTACTCTCCAACTACACAAATCCACAGCCTTACTCTTTGTTGTTCTTAACAAAGCAACTTAATTTATAATTCAGCTCTAGTTTTTAAGATCATCTGGCAAAAATTAAATCCAGAAAGCATCTAGAATCTTTAGAAAATAATACAATAAAGTTGCAGATAAATACACAGTGGCTTCTAAAGATATAACTAGGAATACTTGCTGGGGCAAAGGGACATTGTACCATATTCTGTCAATTTGAAAATTGTATTTTGAATTAATACAATGCTTTCTAATTTATTTTTACTATTTAAGTTTAATAGTCTTTCTGGAAAGGGCATGTAGTCACTGAATCACATTCTCTCCAGAACCTATGACAAATGCATGGGCATTAGTGGGGGTGATATCTGTGGAAGACTACTATGTATAGCACTTAGAAACAGGAATTGGTTGACTTTACTATATTTCTTGACCAAAGATTCAACTCTCAATTCTAATCAGTCACTTTAAAAAATTGAAAAGGAGGCCTTAATAAGGTAATACAAATGAATCCTAACAAAATCCCAACTCTGCACACTAATGGTGAATAATAAGATAATGTAAACTCTATGTGTGGGAGTGGGTAATTTGGAGGTGAGTGGAGAGGATTAAAGTTAGATGCCTAAAAGGACTTGTTAATATGGTCCAGTTTTAAGCGTAATATAATCCATTCAAAGCTATTCACTACCTGAAAAATAACTTCAATTTTAGAGAGAATAGAGCTACACATACAAAACTGAAAAAAGAAATCAAATCCACAATGATATACATTTTCTCTCAGTAATGGAGAAGAAAGTAGACAGAAAAACAATTGAGGATATATAAGATTGAACAATACTGCCAACAACTTGATCTAATTGACATTTTAACACAATTCATCCCACAATAATAAAATACTGATTTTTTTTCAAAATATACATGAAAAATTCATTAAGATTATATGTTGACTCTAAAATAAACCTTAACAAATTTAAAAAAACAAAAATAAAAACAAGCATATTTTCTGACCATAATAAAATTAAACTAGAAATCAAAAAAAAAAAAAATCTGGAAAATCCCCAAATATTTAAAAATTAAACAATACAGCTCTAAATAATTTTACATATTCAGAGATTATTCATAGGATATATACATATATGCACATATTTGAATCAGAATGAAATCACTGCCCTACATATAAGCATTAATATAAAATTTCCTCCAGATATCTGGAGGAAATTTTATATTAATGCTTATATTAGAAAAGATCTCAAATCAATGCTCTAAACTTTCACCATATAACTAGAAAAAGGTCAAATTAAACCTAAACAAGCAGAAAAAGAAAATAATGTGTGTGATAAGCATAACTGATAAAGATTTAGTCTCCAGAATATATTAAAAATGTTAGCAAAACAATCCAATGGAAAAAAGCCTATCAAAATATATAAACAGATACTTCAAAAATATCAAACACAGATTGCCAAGAAACAATTTAAGAGAGCCTCAACTTCACTAGTTATCATGGAAGCAAATTAAAACCAAATGAGATGTGATACAACATCAATAAGTAAAAATTTTGAAGTCTCAAAACCTCAAATATTGATGAGGATCTAGAGCAATATAAACTTTTATGCACTGTGGTGTTCCAACTGCAATGGTAAATAATTTTGTAATATCAAGTAAAGTTGAACAGCAATTCCACTTCTAAGGTATATTCTAGGGAAATTCTTGCAAACACATACCAAAACATAGAAGGAGGTTCACAGCAAATCAACTTCTAATAATAAAATATTGAAAACAGGCTAAATATTCAGCAATAAGCAAGTAGATAAATATATTGTTGTCTATTCATTCTATATAAAATGAATTGTCATCTCACATAACAACATTGATTAACTTCACAAACAAAGCATACAGAAAAAGAGGAGAAAGAGTGAGGAGGAGCTGAAGGATGGGGTTGGGTGGGTATATGATGGTACTTATAGAAAGCTTTGAAACATATAACATAATACTCTAATTTTATATTATGTAGGGTTTCAATTACAGAGAAATGCATGATAAATAGTGAAATCAGAAGTGTTATGTCTGGGAGGAGGGTTTCGGGAGATGTGATCAGGGAGGGGAACACAGGAGCCTTAAAACCAGGGCTATTACTCACATGGGGATTCATCTCTGTCTTCACTGCTCATTTTCCCTCCTGGGAAATGTCAGCATACTTAGGAGGCTATAACCACCATAGAATAATTATATTCAAAGTTTTGCATCAAAGCCCTATTCTCAGGAACAGGGACCTACCCTTATTTTATATCATTCAAAAACAATGGCAAAATAAAAACAAAGGTTTTGGGGAAAGGTTCCCTTTGAGAAAAATGGACATAAATTGACAAATTTGATATTTTACCTGAAAAAAAGAACAACAATTGGCCATTTTTTAGAGGTCAAGGCCCTCCTGGCTTCTTGTGAGGCCCCTGACCAGGCAGAGGGTAGCTCCCATCAGAGCAATGGATTAGCATTCAAGAGCAACATTTCTGCCCAGGAAAACCAATTGCATCAGAGACAATTGAATTGTCCAGGCCTTCAGTATGGTTTTGCTACCAATATTAAATTCAGTGAGGATCTGCTTTGTCACAGAAGAAAAAAGATGAGAGTCGCCAGGGCTTCAATTTTATCTAAAGTCCAGCTACTGGGGCTCAGTTCTGAACCAGCTGGCAATGTTGTTCTCAGCTTTACCCCGAGGAAGTAGCCCTGACATGAAACAGAACAGAAGACCCGTGGATTTAGCAAGACCAAATAGCAACGGTCTTTTAAGGCTTTGCCACTTAAAATATGGTCCCTGGGCCTGCAGTGTCTGCATTCCCTGGAAGCCTGTTAGAAATGCAGACCGTTGGGCCAGACCCAGATCCACAAAATTGGAATCTGCATTGTAGCAGAGGTAATTCCTGTGCACATTCAAGCTTGAGAGGCATAACTTTGAGGCATAGAGGACCACCAAATTCCAGATTTGTAAACTAGGAGAGGAGAAGAGGGAGTTCCAGCAGATTGAATTAAAAAAAAAAAAAAGTCAACATGGACTAAGGGCCATGTCACTTAGCCAGACTTTCTAGACAGATGGCAGGGGCTTTCATAGATCCTGGCCTGGACTTGTTTCCCCAGCCACTGACTCACTTCCAACCTACACCGCTCCTTTCTTTCCTGGATCTCCTAATCTCTGTATCTGCCTAGGATCCCTGAGACTTACCTATTCTCTCACTACCCAGCCTCTTGGTGATGGACTTTTGCCAGTGACCAGTCTTAACTTGGCCTAGATTCCATCCCCACTCTTACTTCATTTTTTCTTTGCTCTCTCCAGCCTCAGCTCTGCTGCCTGACTCTTGGCAGTCTACTTAGCTCTTGGCAGGTTAGACCCAGGTACCTCCGGGGCTAAACAGAGCCCAGTCATGGCATGCTACACTTTGAAAAGTGTGGGAGCTTGGCAAGGACACTTGTATGGCAGCTTACAATGAGAACTGGTGATTTAATGTCCATCCGTGCAGGAGCATCATCCAGAAATTTGCGGAAAATGTCTGGACTGTTGGTTTTAGGGCACAAAGCAGTTCAAACTACTGTGACACAATGAAATAGGGAGAAGGGGATGGGATGAAGACAAGAAAAACAATTCAATAAAACATAATTGACCAGCACCATACACTTCCCTTTGCTCCCTACAAATACCAACTCAAAGGGGCTCTACTGATACCCATCCGGTCTCCATAAAGTTCTCTCCACCACCATTTCTAAAATTCATCTTAGCCAAAGTTTCTAAGGACTTGTATGCCTTTCTGAGTGCACATTGTGTGCCATTCTCTTTGTCATCACTCTATATGCATTAAATTAATATTCATAACAAATTTAAGATATTAACTCCAGCCTTACCAATGAAAAACTGAAGGTTAAGAGGTAATTTGTTTCAGGACTTATGTGTAATTACAGAACCATGGATGTGAACTTG